AGATGTGTATAAGAGTATAGTATCACCCTCATAATCTAAAGAAGACATAAGGTATTTGGAGATTTTTTTTTATCGCTTTCCTACTTTAAATATTTAAAAATTCCAACGAATATCTGAAGTATAGTGACTATCTTATGAAGACTTATAACGGACCTATCAACATGTCAGTCAAACTTCAAGTTAACTGACCAATCACAGCAGGGCCATTGGCTTGCCTCACAAACGCAATTGTGTCCCCCACAAACGCACGTATCTGGTACGTCTACGCTGTCGTTTTTTTGTTGGACAGTGCTCCAATATCCAAGAGGAGAGTCACCGGAAAGGTCCATTACTTAAAGAATCGATTACCATGGTGATTAGTGTTGATCATTTTAAAAGAACACTATGTTCTTGGGAATTGAAAGACATTTACCCATTTATTTAAGATAGAATCGAAGAGTAATATGGATCAATCAACACAACGGATTTAATCCACTTGGCGACGTCATAATATGACAACATAACATTGGCAAATATTACCTATATTTCTAAATACGTTTATGAATTAGCTTTTAAATTTGACAACTAGGATCGCAAGAATTAGGTTAAAACGGGCGATAAGTATTTAACGGAATTGGAACAACAATCTAAACGCCCCGGTTCGACATTGAGAAGTAGGCTAAGAACTCGTTGGTGGTAAAAGAACTTCAAATAGAGAATATTATATATATTTAACCGCTTATGCTGACTTTTCCTTTGGCATCCATCTTCTATTGTTTTCGATCTAGATTAGAGAGAATGACAGCAATCGATGCAGACCTAGGCCTAATCCATCTACACCACTATAACCTTGATGATAACTATCTAGAAAATAACTTATATTAGTCTTCATTAAATCTAAAGAAATGCTACTATATTTGAGAAATTCATGGTGCATTAGACCAAGTTATAATCAAATCGCAGGGGAAATGATAATTTACTAACATTTATTGTGCTGAAATTCATTAATGATGTAGATGGATGAAATAATATTTCAAATATCGAAGCATACCTAATGCATGTACACCACTACAACCTTGATGCTAACTATCTAGAAAATAACTTATATATTAGCATTCATTAAATCTGAAGAAATGTTACTAAATTGGAGGTGTTCAGAATGCATTAGACCAAGTACAATCAAATCTCAAGGGAAATTATAATTTACGAACATTTAACGGAGATTTTCTAATAGTCGATTTAATTAATAAGTCTTATTGTCCAACGTGTCAATTGGATGGGAGTGTCTGATAACATATTAAACCAAGTGATCCGAAAGTTGTCACAACATTGAACATGATTTCACCTCTACTTCTTGCGTTTGACAGGCAGCACTAAACTTAAAATAACTTAAATGTCAGATAAAGAACGCATTCTTTTAATTATTTGCAGAAATATGCCTGTTGCTGTTTAAATAATAGTAGTTACAGTAGCAACTATGTTTATAGAAACAACATGTCTATAACAATCTTTTCGTTTACTATGCCTAACTATTGTAGATAATACAGTAATGGTATAATACTATTACTTTATTACGCCATTACTGTATTATCTACAGTAATGGTATAATGGTATAATACTAATAAAAGAATTGTAATATAGGTAAATGTAAAGGTAGGAGAATAACCTAAAACCCGCAGCTTCATTGTGTCATTCATGAAATTTATTTAAAAAACATCCCCGGTCAACTAAATGTTCATAGTTATAATTATAACTTGTACAACAATATAATTTTATTACGTTTAAGAATTAATGTGATTTCCTACTTTTGGTCTTTATAGCAGTGTCGGTAGCCTTTGCGTATTATCAGATATACAAGGATAATTCAAACCGTCCTTGGTTGAAGATAGACAACACATTGTACAATAATTCCAACATTATCAATTCGATATCAGTATCAATTACATATAAATGTAAAACGACATGCTTAATGCTGACTATTTATAACGCTTTACATTTTGTAGTCTATTATATTCACTACGGTACCTACTTATATTAATCTGTAGTTTACGAATGCATAATATTACTGTAGCTTAACAGTGGTATTCTTAAGCTTAATCTATCAGCTTTTAAATACGTCTAAATAATTCTGCAGTTATTCAATTCAAATAAGATGTGTATTTTGTCTTACCTTCTACATAAAACGTACGAAATATTTTCTGTTGATGAGGCATCTTGAATCAATGCTTTCTATTTCCTCGGCGGTTAAAAATATTATTAAATGGTTATATAGGCCTATGTTGGAAGATTTTTGTACAACTATAAGCTTTTCCTTAATCATTGAAACTCCGGTACATGAAGGTAATGTTGATCGTCAACAAAATATCATAGTTGTAGGCCAGTCTTGTAATCTTACTAACAAATGCAACACTTATTTTTCCTGATCAATGAACTTTCAGTAAGCGATTTGAAAGCTATATAAGAAATAGTTATAATAAGCTGCGCATTAGAAACAGGGTTGTGTCCGCCTCTTTTCGTAAGTAATCATAGGCAATTACATAGACAATTGGCCTAGCTGCAACGAGGGCTCTCCTTAAAGGGACTGATGGAAATGCAGAGTGTCTGTAATATACATTTTTTTTATATTAGTGTTTAAAACAAATCGAATGAATTTACTATGTCCACTTAACTTGATGTTATATTTTAAGCAATGTAATCCATTAAGTAAATTGCAAATCATAAAATCAAAATGAATATGGTTCGATTTAAGAAATCTCATAGAGAATTTTAATACTGTATATGTAATTGGGTGCCTTAAACACGCAACTTATTAATTGACTCGACGAATAGCATTAGGAAATATGTCTGCAGATCTGATGTATTGATTCAAAGGTAAAAAGTCTAACAAAACATATTTATATTTTTTAACTTTTTATATTGAACTAGTATAATGGAATATAATTTCAAAAATAGGCTATTCACATGGTGGTGTAATTTGCGTATAATATGGTATTTGGTAAAACCTTTAACTGGAATCGCTTAAAAAAATATATCTTACATAAAAACGAATAATATCAATGTTTCCATCATTGGTGTTTTTGAAAAAGTAAATTTCAAAGGCAGGATCCGGTCATGGCAACAATGAACATCGTATTTTAACAGCCTAATTGGAGACAGTATTCCCAGCGCTCTTACTGACGTCATAGCGAGAGTAATGCAAATTAAACGAACATCAGCCCATTTGAACATATCTCACTATTGTTATTTTTTTTCCATGCTGAAAAGACAGTAAGGCTGTTTGATCACACCATTTGAAATAAGGTATTAATATATCGGCAGTGACATATAGGCCGATTTTTTTTTATTGGTCTAGACAGGGCGAGATGACAATAAATGATTAACGCGGGAACATATTTTACGAAATTATATATAACACACGAGGTGTATTACAACTACGTCATTTTGGTTTGTGTTTAACGTGAAATGTAAG